CAGCATGGATTCGATTTCTCCGTGGTACAACAAGCACCTGAAGTGTTTATCGAATAAAAAAAGCGTCTTTTTTTATTTGTTAAGATAAAAAAATCGTTAAGATCACCAGCTAGGGTTCCTGCGTCGAAAACTTGCATTGGCGCCTTCTAATGTAAAACTGACAGCATATAAATCTCTCATAAAGCCAATCCTCGAGTATGCCAGCATTGTTTGGAACCCCCACCAAAAATATCTTTCCAACAAATTAGAAATCGTCCAACGCAAGGCCCTTCGCTTTATCTATTCTAAGTATTCGAGGCATGACAGTGTCACTGAGCTGCGCAGGCGGGCATAATTGCCGACCCTTGCAGCCCGTCGCCGTGTCTCTTCCTTAAAGTTTATCTTTCTTTTGTATCACAACGGTTTAAACATAGATAAAGACAACTATATAAAGCCGCCTAACCATCACTCCCTTCGTACCAACCACAATAAGTGCATCAGACCATTCATGTCACGCTGTGACACTTTTAAATATTCATTCTTCCCGTCAGCAGTGGAAGAGTGTAACAAATTGACACGTGAATGCGTTAATCTTTCCTCTGCAGATTCATTTGTTCGGAATGTTAGAAAGCCTGTTTTATGAAGACTAAAAGCAACTTTTGTTTTTTTATGTTTGTGAGCGCTCCCGAACACACTGATCACTGTACCCCCTGCTGATACCTCGATGTTTTGTGACTTGTCCATGATTTTGTACAATTGCTTTCATCGTTCAAGTTTTTTTTTCACCATCACCTTGTGATTCTGTTTCTTCCACTATGTGCGATATTGCCTGGTTTGTACGTGACTGTGTATATTTGCTCGCCCACCCTGTATGAGCCTGAGAAAGGCTTACAGTATTAAATAAATAAAAAAATATAAAATAAAAAAATTCACCTGCGACTCATCGCTTGAAAGATTATACGATAGAAGCAAAAGATTACTTGCCAAGCAACATCCATGTCATCGTTGTTGTTAAGTGAACCAAAAAATTATGGCGCATGATTAGAGCAAGCAAAGCTCATTGCTTCACCTTCACTGATAGTTCGGGCAACGGCACCTCTGACAGCGCATGCTGTGAAGTTCTTAACGAAGTATTATCAAATAATTTTTCTTCCAGCACAAGCACAGCAGTGTAATCATCGCATAATACCAACTGATTGATTCATTGATTTATATGTGGAGTTTTACGTACCAAAACCACCAAGTGATTATGAGAGGCGTCGTATTAGAGGGCTCCGGAAATTTCGACCTCCTGGGGATCTTTAACGGGCATCCTAATCTGAGCACACGGATTTGCAGCATTTTCGTCTCCATCGAAAATGCAGCCGCCGCAGCCGGGACTCGATCCCGTGACCTGCGGGTCAGTAGCCGAGTACCTTAGCCACTTCACCGCGGCGGGGCGCATATTTACAACTACACAACTATGTTTCCGCTAGAAATAAATTTCAATAGCGTAATAAAACCTAATAAGTCATTCAAAATATTTTACTCACCGGTGTTCGATCAAATGGAAGCAGAGTTTTCAAAGAGCACAATGACATAATAATCTGTACTATACTAACAATGATATTCAAACAGACTCCTGACAGTGGTTCTCGTTCATCAAACGGGAAAACATGGAAGGTGATTCTGTTCTATAAATAGGGTAACATGCATTTCGCTATTAACTGCCAGCTTATCTCCCTTACTAACACACTGTGCCCTATTCTTGAACACATGCACTTCTCAGATATTATAAAGTGGCGTGACTCCAACTCGTTTTTATCATCATCACAACACGGTTTTCATAAAACCTACTCCTGCGAAAGAGAACTAACGTCTTTTGTGCAGGAATTACATATTCTTTTAGATGACCCTTTATTTGCCGACTGCATTTTCTTCAATTTCTTGAAAGCATTCTACAATGTTTGCCATAAATTAGTTTATTACAAGCTTAGTCTACTTAACATTGTCCTAAACTTCTGACCAGGATTCCATGTTTTCATCTAAACCAGTCTCAATTCATTTCAGCAAACAACACTTCTTTCACGACTCAGCTCTGTAAAATCTGGTGTTTCTCACAATTATGTGCTTGATCGCCTTCTTTTTCTAATTTACATAAGCGACGTAACTTCTAGCGTTTCCTCAAGTATTCACCTTTTTGCAGACGATTGCGTAATCTTTAGGAAAGCAACTTGAGACAATGATATGCAAATTTTTTTCCATGTGACCTCAGCGCAGTCTCTTTATGGTGCAACGAGTCGGAAATGAAAATGAACATAACTAAATGCAAATTTATGCGAGGAAACCAATAGAAAACGATTCAACCTATTTTTAGACTCAATCGAGAACTGTTAGAATTTGTGTCATCGTACAAACATCTTGGTGTGCATACACCGTCAAACCTAACATGGACTGATCATATCACACACATTCTGAATAAATCGAATATCATGCTCGATTACATTCATCAAAATGTTTCAACATCACCTTCTTCCCTAAAGCTTCGTTTCACAAAACACTAATCAGATCTGAACTTGAATATACTGCATCAGTATGGGATCTTTTTCATGAAAATCTCTCACATGCACTAGAAATGATTCAGGACAATGCTATCTATTTTATTTGCTCTCAATATAGTCGCAGTGCCAGCATAACGTCAATTAGAAATGATCCTAATTTACCGACTCTCGCATTCTGATGTAAAACGCGTCTTGTTTTTTTCATAAGCTTTACCATCAACCACGCTTGCATAACGAACTAATGAGTCTTCCACTGTATACTTTTCCTGTAGAATAGACCATATAAATAAAGTCAGAATTCTACCATGTAGAATTCGTGAATTTTTGAATTCATTATTACCACGTACATCGAAAGAGTGAAATTGAATTCCTGCACCAACGGTAGAAACCAGTGACTCTGATTGATTCAAACGTGCTTTACCAATGACATCATAGTCTTTTTGCAACATGTAGTCTGCACGATGGAATTGCTATGTATTATTTTATTTACCTTTCACTTGCTTGCTTGCTTGTTTGATTACATTACTATGATTTCTTCTCTTCGTTGTCATCCGCAAATGCAAGTGTGTAATATTGTTGACCTAATTATTGTGTTATTTATATAATTATTCTATACACATCGTGCAAATTCATGCTAGTATTGTATAACTGGAGCACTTCGATTGTATAATAACCAGTCCCTCTGTATTGTCTTTTGACCCTGAGGGTAAATACATAAATAAATAGTACAAGTAATATGTGGGGATTTATGTCCCTAAACCACGATATCATCATCAGAGACGATGCAGTGCACCGTTAGAAAAGTTCGACTACCTGTGAGTACTGACATCGCATAGTACACGGGCCTCTGGCATTTGTCCTTCAACAAAACGTGACCGCCTTGGCCGGGATCGAACCCGGTACCTTCGCGTTAGCAGCTAGCACTATAACCACCGCTCTACCACGGTGGACCGGATAAGTTTATAAGAAACGCACTCGCGTTAGCAACGTATTCGTTGCTAATGTGCTGTGTTGCCAGCCGTGATCGTCCGTAGTTATGTTGCTCGACTGCTGACCCGTAGGTCGCGAGATCGAACCCCGTCCGTGGCAGCATTTTAGCAGCCCAAAAACTGTGATATCTTTCGCGTGCTACCCGTCCTGTGCCAAAAAAATAAACGCCTCTGCATTATCAAGCATGGTAAACAATTAGTACAATGCATCAACAATGTCATCTATTGTATTCCGCTTTCATGCCGGGAACGCTATTTAGGCCAAACAGGAAGGTGTCTAAATTACCACCTTCGTGAGCACGACACTTATGCGCGCAACGCAAAAGAAGGATTTTTGGCTATTCTGACGTTACTGGCTGACGTTACTGCAGCTCAAAACATTCTTCCCTACATGCCACGGGGAACTAAACTGAACATGTAAATAAGAAGTGCCTTAGGGTAAGCTGCATGCCGACTCAATTTTCCGACGACGTTCATGGAGTGGAAACACTGTTGTTTACATGCCGAGTTTCAGGCTTTGCCCCACCAGTTCTTCATCATAAAAATCTATCTCAAAACTTCGCTCATCTCCTGTATTTTTTTTGTTAGCTTGAAATAAAGTTCCCGTAGGGTAAGTATTCTTTACCAATATATGCAAACATAGCGCAATCTTTCAAGAGAAAAACTGCTTTCATAAAATATTTTGGTAAGGTTTCTGGATGCCTATTTGGCTGAAAAATTTCAATAATAATATTTAGCTTTCAACAGTTTACACAAACGCGTTTGAATATTATATAAACCAAGTTTGGAATTCATACGAGAAACGATACTATCAGAACAAGTTTTCTGCCGAACATCACTCAGACCACATCTTGCGAAACCCGACAGGCTTTCACCTGACCAACCGTTGTTTTCTCTCATCAATATTCCAGCCGTTCACTATTTTGATTGCAGTGAAACAGCAGGTTTTCTTTCTATATAGTGCATTTAAGAAGGTGGCTGAACTGGCTGGAACTTTGGCTTTACTGTCAGCCTTCTGCCTTGCTTTGGAATATCAGCTTACCTTACGACCTGGTGCGAGAAACCGGTTGCGTTCTCGCTCGCAAAGGTAACAGGAATTGTTGAGCTTGATGACAGATTATTACTGTTAGCACGATGCATTCGGTGAGACACAGATCTATCTTAACCTTGCTACCATTTCTTTTTTTTCTGAAGTTAAGTATGTGTTGCTATATCACCATGCATGTTATCATGAATAATGCTGCAACAGAGCGCTCACTCATAAACGCATTAAAAAACGGACCTTGCATACAAATCGTCACGAGACTTCAAGTCATCAATGTCGTTGACTCGTGATGATGAGGACTTATTGGCCTGTAATCAAATTCATGACCTTATGCTTGGAAGCGAAATGCCGCACATTCATTCAGCCACCGTTGTCATCGGCGATTAATTTAGACTACTGTCATTCTAAGTGCCAGTTTCCTGCATTTTGGAGTCATAAAGCGTGCAAAGTGTTTCTTCCCATTTTTATTAGTAAAAGTAGACAAGAAAAACAAGTCTCAAACAAAAGCGCACATGCAAAGTTTTTGAAGACCCGTTGTTTGGAACACAAATCCTTTAATCGTTCTTGCGTGTTGCAGCAACGTTTGTATGGTTCATACACAGAAGTAGGCTCCGTCATCGTAACCACTATGAAACGTCCTCTTCAGAACGGTATGTGGGCTCTAACTCCGACCTCCCCCTGTGGTTTTCCTCGGTACGAGTGGCCGTCGAAGCGGCCGAAATTCATCGATCCTTGGGCGTAGCCGGTAATGCGGCCGCCGTTCTTAGAGCGGTGCAAGTCGTACTCGCCGCGGGCGCCCACGTTGGCGTTGAAGTTGCGACCGCTGTTGCCCGACGCCGATCCGAACACGTTCAGGCGATGCTGTGAAAGAATGAGATGCAGGAGGTCAGTAAACAGATTGGAGGCTCTGGAGTGGTTCTTGATTTTGCCATGTATAGGAAGAAGAGGTAGGGTTTGCCTACAAGGTACCGAAGTGATATAGTACTTCAAATTAACATTGGTTATTATCAATTAAACAGAAAGCTTACGTAACGACACAAGATTCTGATGGATGCCAGCCGTTCTCTCCAGCCAATTGTCATGTCGGACAAATTATAAGCGAAGATGAGCCGCCAACAGGAAACTTTGGTTGCCACTGAAAAACCTTCGTGTCAATTCACCGCTATAGATTATTACGACGAATCCTATTGGAAGAGCAGGAGCACCCAAAAGCACGCTGAAAGTGCTCTTTAGAGCCGGCGTGTTTCAGTGGTCGAACGGGTGCAGGAGCACCACCATCCATTGTTAGAGCGAGAGTGCTTTAGCTGCGCCGAGAGCAGCCAGGAGCAGTTCGCAGTGCTCTCGCCTGAAAAGCGGAGTAGGTGCAGTATGACAAGCCATGTGGCCCTTGAACGTCACAATTTCTGAGTTCTTCTTAAGCCGGCGATTGCGGCTGCAATGGCAGCAACCATGTGTAGTTTGACACCGCTGTTTTGTACGGATGGCTACTATGACAGCTGGACGTTTGCCAAATGGGTCGTTGCACAAACATACTAGGTATTAGGATAATGAAGAACATGTGGCTAACCGATTTCACACGTATTTTGCTGCTGACCCTCAAAGAATATGCCGGGGCTTGCAATGTTTCAGTTTCCCCACTTGTCCCCTTCTCCCCTGCCCTCCGGAAGCACGGCGTATTCCATTGACCGGTCGAGTGGCCCTGCTCTGAGTGCTCTGCTCCCAACTCCTCATTGTCCTGCTCCTCTTCGCCTGTTCTCTCGATAGAATTTGCTATTAGTAACATGCAAGCTGAAAGATGTGATCACATTTATGGTGACCGAAGCATTAAAAAAAATGACTGCTTCACGAGCTTAAAAATGTTTTACTAGTATAAAAAAGAAATATTGCGTCACAGTTAAAAATAATAATTATTTATTGTTCTTGACTTCATGGCGATTAAAATAATAATTTAACAAGCACATTCATTAGCGGTTGTCCTGCCTCACTGCTAAACACGAGGGCGTGGGTTCGAATCCAGCACACGGCGGCCGCGATTCGATCAGCAAGAAGGTTTGAATACTAAGGTTTAGATTCATGTTTAAAAAAAAGACGAGGTGAGAATTAAGCAGTAGTTTTCCACTATACGACGTGCCTTATAAAGGTAGCGACTATTTGTTGCCGTCCCGGTTCTGCGTGTGACCGGTCGAAAACATTTGCTGCAAACGCTAAGCTCAAGACGCACCTGCACGCAACAAAACATTCTAAAATGTTGTCGTCAGTTATACAGAAAAATAACGTTTGTAATCAGATCGTGCACATCATGGAAATAGTAGTTTACATTTGGAAATTTCGGCGAGCACTGCATGTTAAGCTATCATGGTCCGTGACTTAGAATGAGATGTAAATAAAAGATCCATACAATTTGCAAACGAGATTTTTACACCAGATTCGTTGGCTGTCCCCGTCAACGACCTTTTTTCTGCCCATGTTTTCTTACTGTGAAGAGAGCTGACAGGCAGTTAGATGATGCGAGCAAAATGCTGGTCGTCTTTCACCTGTCTCACCAGCCCATCGTCTCGACTATAGCCCAATTAAATGAATGGTTACTTCCTTTAGCTGAGAACAACTGCAACAAATAATGGTTTCTTCATCTACTAACGCCGCTCTGTTCTCCATACATGGTCATTACAGCATTACATCTTAATGACCATTGGTTTAAATAAATAATTAAACTGTGGTCGCGAAAAAGGCATTACATTCACACGTTTCGAGCACTTACCCGAGGTGGATCGGGCTTGAAATTGAAATTCGCACGTCCTCCCTGTTGAACACAACAATGAGAAAAAGAAAATGATTGTCGTTTAGCTATTGATGAATAGCGTAACACTTTCACGCACTGAGAGTGCGCACAAGTTTTGATATTTTTCCACAATTTTTCATTTTTTGCAATTATTCCCAGCACTATCGACCAATTAAGTTTGGAGTTTTAATAAGTACTATTGTGTTGGACGTGCTCAGTGGCCAGGATACTTGCGGTCGTAGTTACCACTTGTAGTTGTGGGAGAAACTAAAGAAAAAAAAACCCGGTTGGTCTCGGGTGGCCTTTAGAGAATATTTATAGCGAAAGTTATTTGCAGCCATTCAATGCGACCTTCGCCAGAGAACACTGGGAAGATTCGGCAAGTTAAATCTATATTGACTCATCAATATCAGGTTTGGAATAAAAATTGTTATACCCCTAAAACCTTATAGCATGGCTTATAAAATTAAAAGTTACTAAGTCGAAAGCATAATTATAAGTTAAACAAGATTGTTCTCACCTGCGCTACAACCATGGTGACAACTTGAGAAATATGAAAAGAAAGAGCGAAAAAATAATTTGTAGTTTTTTTCATAAACAACACTGAAGACAAAGGTAAGCACACAATTATTATGGCGATCGGGGCGTATAAGTGGTTAAATGCAAAACTTATTTTCAAAATATTTGCATCCCAGAAAGTTATTGCTATACATAAACACAAGCGGAGAGATATGTAGTGGTTACAAGCAAAAATTACGCAACCATATTTTTTCTGTATTAGTACAAAACGCAGGTACTATTGTTGCGTCTAATGCATGTAGTGCTTAAGAGGCTAAACGCAATAAGGAAAGAAATGACACCTTAAATTCGATACTCCGGTTGTCAATATTCGGGTCTAAAGAGAAGCACGAAACTATAGCTGCACAATGCAGGAGCATGCGCCGAAGCGTTGATCGTCAAAAATTAATGGTTTACTTACAATCAACCAATATTTAGGAGATTCTGCTGTTTACGGGACATATAATGAAGGAGGAACGAATGAAGTGAAAGCTCACCAACGAGCACGACGAGAACGCAAAGCGATACACGGCACATGTTTGCAGAACACCCGCCTAAGAGAGGACTCTCCAAGGCACAAGGGTTGGCAGTGAAGGAGCGAATGGCTCACTTACGAACGATGCTCCGGCATTTATGCTGTTAAGCGTTCCGTACAGACGGCCGTGGGAAGGGTAAGGGACTGGGCTTCATTACATTCGGGCTTTCGCTTTCTTTTGATTTCGCGAAGTCGCGTCACCTCTTGTTGGTTCCGTTATTGAAACGCATCGGCGGCCCATCCGGACGAATCCGGAGGACAGTTGCCTCGCAGCAGGGCAAGAGTTCCACCCCGAACGCGTGTGAAAGGATCGGGCCGACGTTGTCGAGATGGCTTTGGTTTCCTCGACGAGTTGGCGAGAGAGACGTGCCCGTCGGGAATTCCCCTTTACGCAAACAAGCGTTTACGTTTCGCTTCCGTGAGGAATATGGCGCGCGGCTCGGTCATTCAACGCTATGGTCAGTTCTTAGATCATCAGAAAGAAGGAAGGAAGCAAAGGGGAAAAAATAGAAAGACGACACAGTGACACCGGTTAAATTTCGAAAGGAAACGTTAAAAGACGACGCGGATCCATAACAACCCGGATACGAGCTTTCACTTTTATATTTCTCAGCAATTTAGCACCGCGTACCGTACGGACAAAAAGTATGCAGTGTATTAAGCTGAGAATATGGTGGAAGCTTGTTTGGTCAAAATGAAACATTTTACAGATCCTATTTCAATCCCACTTCAACGATGAGATTCGCACACTAACCAAATGATAAAGAAAAACTCAAATTTGTTATTGTTTCGGCTCCTTAACGTAATCCGTATTCATACAGATTGTGAACAAGGTTCCCGGGAGGCATTCGAAACGATTAAACATTTGTTTGTTGTTGTTGTTTTTTAAATCACTACCGATGTTGGGATCCTTTTCTTCAATCAGAAAATTTTACAGGCAATGACACCAAAGTTTTGATCATAATACCCCCTTTTAGGTTAATCCTTTTGCATGTACAAATAAGCTGACGAAATTCAGTTGCATTTTTCTAAACATGCGAGCAGCCAGGCAGTGGGGCAATATTGGCGCACTTGACGTACAAAGCAGATTGTTGCGCCAGTGGCGCATGTATTCTGGCGAAGGATATTGTTCCGTGGTTCGCTGCACGTGAAATCGATGTATTTTAGCTTTATTCTATTCTGAATTGAAATTGAGCAATTCGCAGCAGATGTAATTGTGGTAGAAGGCGGCTGACCTGCTCCTTCCAGCACGTGACGTCACAGAAGCCATTGTGAAATGGCGGGTAGTATAGAGTTTACAGCCAGTGATTTCTAGGGCTTGTTCTGGGCTGAAGTCTTTTTTTACTTTACGCTACAATTTTTTATATATGTACGGGCAAAACAGACCCTCAACGTCTTGTTTTCGCGGAAAATTACAGATTTTTGGGTGACCGTGTCATAACCTCTTTAAGACAGCTTCGCAATAGTGGCCCATAAGCCTGAAGGCAGCTGCGGAGCTGGGCAGCATTCTTAGTTTTTTTTCTGGTTTTATCTTTTTTAGGGGCTAAGCTCCTAAAGCAGTGGGTCTATCCCTCCTAGCTCGTACGTGACCACCTAGTTCGATGACTCACTCAGCAGGTGTGGATGAACAGACAGCCAGAGACAGACGGACGGACGGATGGGCGGACAATTCGCTGTTTGCCGATAACACCCTACGAACCTTCAGCCCACTTGGTATCATTCAGTCCGTAGATATGCTTTCTTTTTCTCTTCTCCAGATTTTCTCTGTTTTTCTTCTTATTTCCTTTTACTTTTATTTTCTTCCCAATTTCCCATTTGTTTATTTCTCCTTCTCGCTCGCTTGCTCTTTTTCAATTTTCATACGCTGTTTCACCCTAGAAGTATTCGGGACTTAATATTATCATCATGCCAGTTGAAAAACAAAACGAAGAAGACCTCACTTCGGCGCAAGCGTATGCTCATTATGCTGCAGTGGTCTATGCCAGATGTACTTTTGTCTGCGTTATTATTATCATGAAGGTGCTCTAAGAAGAGGAGAAAGACTAATTGATGACGCTAGAATTGGATTATTAGAACAACACCTGTCTCAATGAAGTACTAATATAGTAATTGCAACGGATGCATTTATGAGTGGCGAGAAAGCACGTGTGGGTATTTTTCTCTCTCTCAATATTCTGGTCATTTTAATTACGCCTCCCACATTATACACCAATATTTGAAGCGGAATTAAGGGCCGTTATACTAGCTATCCGTAAACTTCCTGCGACTAATTCGACAACTGTGATAGTGACTGACTCGTATTCCGTGTGTTCAATTTTATCATCGTCGTCGGCATCAGCAGTACGAGAAACGTTTGAATAATTAATCATTAGGAAACTTACAAATCATTAATCCCAGCAAACCTTCGTCTTGTGCGAATGATATGGGTGCCAGGCCATCATAGTATATCTATAAATGAGATGGCTGACACACTCGCGCGAACGTCCTTAAGTCTTTCGATTGTGCCAATCATGTCTCTCACAGCTTATGTAACGGCAGCGAGGTTCAGAAGACTTTCCTTTCTTGACGACTCATCAAAAATTACGATACCGAATCCAGATTCCTCGCACCCGCACTTCGCATTGTATAATAAATGGTGTCCCACACGTAAATTGGAAGTCTTTATAACAAAATTACGTTGCCGTGTGCAACCTTCTAATTTCTACTGAAAAAGGTCTGGTGTGGTGCCATCACCTCTGTGCTCAAGCAGTAACAAACCTGAACATATCGACCATTTTCTTATCACATTTCACCGTTTGAAAAATCTAAGAAAACATTGCTTCGAAATTTCATTAAAAAAACTAGGAATATCACTTACTATTTCTAATATTTTGTCTTTTGGGGCCGCTTCATTGGGACACAGCGACAGGAACATCTGCGGGGCTCACTGGTAATTCCTATGTAACACAAAAAGATTACCTTGCTGAGCCATTGATCAGCTCTCGATTTTTACTAACCAATTTACCATTTATTATTTAGCTGTTACACTGTAATGATTTAACCTTCGGAAGAATTTCACATAACGATTACACCTCAGATATTCAACAAATTCTATAATTTCTCTCCTCCCCTCCTTTTTACATTGTGCCAAATTCTTATTTGCTGCCGCGACGTTACAAGACAGTGATCGATGTATATATAGATTTATCTTAACAGCATTCTCGTTTTCGAGGTCGACTACCTGTTCGAATTGGATTTATGTGCGGGCTACTTCGCCCCCGTGAGCATCGCCTAAAGAACTGAAGCGGAAAAAAGAATAAAATTTTCACTTTTACAACAGACCCCTGCTTCAGTACGTCTGCACGCATCATTGTGAACTGAGTTATGTTAATACGTTGTGTTAATACGTTGTGTGTATGTGTGTGTTTACGTGTGTGGGCGTAAGATCACAGAAGATAATTCTAATTGCCTTCAGGAGGGACGAGATAAAATATATATAGCTGGATTTCCCGCGGGACACTCTGCACACGTGGCTGATCTTAGGGATAGTCCATGTTGCTGCGATGGTGTCTCATTTTACATGTGATTCTTTATCACTTCAGCAGGAATGTTTGTTAACGTGTTATAACACAGGCTGCCCCAGCTAACAGTGACCAAGATTTAAAAAAAAATGCGTACTACAAAAAACCTACCTTTTGTATATTAGTGGTAGTCATGTGTACACGCAAATACTATTTTTTTCATCAGTAAGCGCTAACTAATGGATTAACACTATTTCACCAACTTTTTCTATTCTTGGTCGAAACGGTAAAATATTGTTTTTGCGTTGTACCTTGCCTCAAATAATTAAAAAAAGTAATCATTGCTGAAATCCACCTGGTTGGTTTTTTTTCTCGAGAAAAACAAAATAGCACACAAGAGAAATATGAAATAGACGCGCTCGTGCGCCCCTGCTCCGGCGCTTCCAGGCGTTCTTTAGTTGATACATGGCTGCGTTCGTTCGTCACCGCATTGTACAAGGCTCCATGCTCGGAGATGAACGCGCTTGCAGCGTCTTTTGATGCGCGTTTTTGAAACATTGCGAGGCCCTCAAAAATGAATGAACGAATCCTTGTATCAACAAAGAACGCTTAGAAGCGCGGGAGTACGGGGGGTTTCACCAAGCGTCTGTTTCATATTTTGCCTGTTATGCGCGCTTTTGTTTTTCATGTCAAAAGAAAAGAACTAGGCAGATTTCGTCAAAAATGAAATGATTCATTTGGTGAATATTTAAGTGAGCTATAGCTCTCTGTCAATATTGTACCGTTTTGAGCAACAATAAAAATTGATTAAATAATTTTGATCAATTAATTAGTGCTTAGTGATGAAAATACACCGGTTGCGTGTACACATGACTTGCAGTAACATAAAAAAGGTAGGAGCTTAATAGTACGCATGTTTTTTTAACTTTTAATCTTGGGTCAATGTAGTTGGCACACCCTCTATATGCACACACACAACCACTGCCCGTATTTTTTTAGCACTTCTCTCCTTCTGCTTGTGCTTAAAACCGTAACATAATATTGAAATAAGCCTGATAATTTTTAAATGTGGAGCATTTTTTAGTCGCACCATGTCATGCGTCGTCAGCGTCCACACCCCCACAGCGCATGCTCGGCTCGTTTCCCCTCCCTCTCTCTCCTTTGATCCTCTCCCCATCTTTCACTTGACTCCAAGCATGCTTGACTCATATAGATGCGATGGAAACAACACATGGCAACAGTACCTTCAACCAGAACTGGGGCACAACCCAACATCATCGTCCCACCACTCGTTCAAGGCAACGTTACCCCACCCGCACCCTCTTCAGCGTCAACAACAGCAAGCAGCGCAGAAGACAAGGCTGCAAAGAGACGAGCATACGACGCTGAACGCAAGCGTTTCAAGCGAGCTGCGGATCCTTCACTCGGGAAACGAGAAGCAGCTGCGAAACGGCAGCGCCGTGCTGCGCATTCCGAACTACGTGTACGATAGCAACGACGAAATGTGAGCAGCGAGCTTTAAGACAAGAGGTACAGTACTCACGTATTGAAACATGACACTCGTAGCGCGTGGCCACTGGTGCATGTGCCGCCGCTCGTGGGTGCTCGCGGAACCAGGGTGTTGCATTGTGGTATAGAGTGAGGGCGAGAACAGCTACGGACCAGGC